TTAGGGTCTCTGTGGCTAGGTGTGGATGTGGGTTCATCTTCCTGGGGAGAGATCTGAGGACTGAACTGTGCACAGGTGAGAGGTGACGCCTCAGACCTCCACCTCTGCTGATGGATGGTCTCTCCAGGTGGACATGGATGCTTCTTTCACTCCTCTCTCAAACCATCTGTCCTCCCTGCAGGACAACATCTGGATGTTGTTGTCTTCAGATGAGTGTCCTTTGTCCTTAAGGTGCAGGTGGATGCTGAGTCTTTTTCTGATGAAAAAGTCATCAGAACTGTGCTGCCTCTGGTTTTATGGTGCCTCGAAAGGTTTCACAAAACCTGCATGAAGTATCAGTGAGAAACCCCGAGCGAGGGCTTCCCTCTCCTCCTCCCACCTGAGACACCGACTCCAGGTGAGTCAGAGCCGGCAGATGGACAGATAACGGCGGCACTAATGCACCAAACAGACCCGCCAACACCTGGTGGCGCTGCGTGGATCATCCTTCAGTGGAACACATGTGTGCCGATTTCTGTACCTCTATGTCGTACATAACCCCGATGGTCGGGGGTACAGTTGAGCTGTGTTGCAGTTTGGAGCTTGGAGCTGATGAACTTTTTCGTTGGTCCTGACCTGCTCTACCAACCACATGGGTCTGGGTCAAACATGCTTCCGACAGGACTCTGTTGAAATTTTCAAGGGGGCGCTGTGGAGCCATTTGGGCATTGACATGTCCAAGTCCTTTAAAATATCAGAATTTTCATGAGTCCTGGAGTGTGTGGTGACTTTGGTGAGTTTTCGTGAGTGTTTAGACCCTCGAGTTTGAGTTTCTAAATGGTGTCAGATAATCATAAAGAGAAACCCGAGGACTGGCATGGAGCCCCTGCGCTGTCGGTGCTCGGACCCTGATGAGAATTGTTGGTGACATTTGGTGAAAAGAAAAAACCCCAAAAAGTGTGTTTTTAGAGGACAGGTTTCTGTTAAGTGAAGAAAGGTTTCTGTTTTGCTCAAGGATGCAGAACATCCAAATATCCTGCACGACAACAAAACACCGCTACGAGTGAAAAGAAACACCGTCGAAGCCTCTCAGTCAGACGCTGTTCTGTCACGAGCCTCCAGATCAGCTCCGCAAATGAAAAATGAAAAAATGAAAAGCGGAGAAAGTGTTTTATGCAGCTCACTTCAACATCTACTCACCTGAATGTTTCTGCTCACACACTTTAAAAAGCTTCAGGTTGTCGCTTCACAGACTGAAACATTCCTCCAAAGCTTCGATGTTGTATTTTTCTTTATGTCGTGTTATACTGTGTTTTACATGCAGCGATGAAGTGGATGCATTCATGCATTTATTTTTTAAATGCTTTTCACTGCTTATCGAGCGTTGTGCAAAAATAAAGGTGGAAAATGAACCACTCAGAGTTCTATGACATTGTTCACACAGCAGGTCCTGGATCTGTGACAGATCAGGTTTTAGGAAGGAATCTCTTTAAATGTGCTGTGAATAAATCCACAGGTGTCAGAAAAAGCACGTGAAAAATGTTGAAATCCGGTAACGTTGGTGATTTAAATCCTGTAAAACTGTCACTTATGGTCACACGCTGCAAAAAAAATCATTAGCAGTTTTAAAAACACTGACTTTTTAAGTATTTGCAGTTTTGGCCTGTTGTTGCTATTTTACATACAAACATGGATATTTTCTCATGCTGTGATTTTTGCGAGATATTTTCTGTAATTTAACCAAACAACATGATCCTGACCCTAAATCTGTAAAATTGTAAATATTTTCTGCTATAACACCTGGTGAAGCTCAATTTACTGTCAAACACTGTAAAAAGAACACTTTTTATGGTTAACATGAAACATTTATACTTTTTTTTGTCTGATTTTACTTTTCATTATCTGTAGTTTAGGAAAAATATGAAAGCCTGTAACGTAACAGGAAATCGTTAAAAAACAAAATTAACGTTTTTAAAAATACTGACTTTTTAAGTATTTAGCCAGTTTTTGTTGTTGTTATCCATCCATTATCTACACCTTCATCCTCATTAGGGTCATGGGGGGCGGAG